CAGAAATTGAGATAAAAAGCTGAAACTTGACGAACAAATTCGTTGTTGAATCTAGAAATGTACTAAAAATGCATCTAAAACTTTTTATTTTTTGGACCTTCGAAGAAGACTCCCACAGTCACCCCCCACACCAGCTAACTGATACGCCTCCTGTACAGGAAATAATTTTGTGTGTATAATTGTAGTAATTATGATATAATTATCATATGATGACAGATAATTTGCTTAAGAGTGAAGGAAGATAATTCTTTCACATAAAGTACACGTGGCACGTTCCTTACACACAAACTGTTTCATAATTTTTATGGCTTAGTTGCGAATGTCGTTTGTCAAAGTTTGGCTCTGGGGCGTGAAACATTTTGGCATTTCTTTACTTCTTCTTCTTCTTCGTCGTTTTCTTAAGTGTTCACCGAGTCATCAACAGATGAGATTCGCTGTGTTATGAAAGCGCTTTCAAATCTCAACTACGGTAAAGTTTTCAACATCATCGAGCGTACGATCTAAGTTGCGCACTAGACCTTACATCCACACTTTGTAAATTTTTTTACAAAACATGCGGACAATGAATAAATAGAAAATAAAAGAAAAGACGAGCGGTGAACATTGATTGGATCGGCCGGCTTTCGGCTTGAGTAAAGGCCGAGTTTAGTTTTGGCGCACATTTTTCTTCTCCCTTCCCGTGTTACACGTCCGCCACACGCAAAATTATCCCGAAAACCCAAGCACTTCTTTACTTAGCAATAATTTGGCATTGGTTGGGAAATGTTGTTCCCATGAACTTCTATTATCGCCAATGTATTCATATTTTCTGTTCATTTTCTCCATCCAACTAATGGCATAAAAGGGTGTTTAAAATTCGTTATGTTCGGATGTGGTGTTGGGCTGTTTCTTTATTGTTGTTTTGTGGTCTTTTATTTCTGGTTGGCTTAAAACTCATTTTAATTTTTGCGCCAACCATAACAAAGTTGAAACACAACGTAAACATAAATGACTTGCAACATTTAAGACAATAACTTTTGTTATGGATTTTCTGTAATCATGCCAACAGAAATGAAATTAAAAGTGTTGAGAATGAAAAGCTGCTCTCCCCCGCTTTCCAACACTTTACTTTCAGTTCTAAAGTGCGGAAAGTACCGAATCCCTTTGGTAAAAGTGCGCTCAACCATTTCATATATTGTTGCAATCAAAATCGTTTACATTAACAAGTAATTGTAAGGCCTTATGTTTGCAAATGTGTATGCATTTGCTGTTCGTAGAAACTAAGAAAGGGAGAAAAAAAATGAAAAATTAAAAGAAAAAAAAAAAAAAAAAAAAAAAAAAAAAAAACAAAAAAATCTCTTCTGTTCCACTAACCTATACAATATTTTCATTTTGCTATTTTTCCTGCTTTTGTTTTTGGCCATCATAACGTGCAGTATCGTCTTTGGTTGTTCTTTTTGTTTTGTTTTTTGTTTTTTGCTTTTTTTTGCCTTACTGAACTCTGCTTTGAACTTTGCATAAACAAAACAAGTAAAAAAAAAAAAAAAAAAAAATCCCCCTCTACCTTCTCGGGATGTCATCTAGTTGAGGAGAACTCAGGTGTTTTGTACCTTTACTCTCTACAAAGTGTGGATTTGTTTCCAGTTACCGAGCAGATGCATGATTGTTGGTGGTCCGAATGCTATTTACCATTATTTTATGAGCTTGTATTTAGTTGTACTCTTAGCTTGTCTGTCTGTCTGTCTGTCTGTCTATCTGTCTGTCTATCTATCTATCTGTCAGTTAGTGTTTATTTTACATATTTCATACAGAATCGCTCGCTTGTGTATTACGCTTAACACAGAAGTTGCTCTTTTTATTTACTACCCGTTTTCCCTATAAAATTTAATTGGCACAAATTATAGGTTTTTTTTTTTTTTCTTTTTTGTTGTTTTCATTTTATTTATTTTTTTTTTTTGGTTATTTTTGTTGTTTTGTTGCATTACTTTCCGACATCACGTATGATACAGAGTTCATTTGGTACGAAAGTTTTTCAACAAATTTCTTAATCAATTAACTGTGTGAAAATATTTTTAGCTATTGCCTTACAATGAACATAATTATAATCGAGTAAGTGTGTATCTGTTTTGATCAAAAAATAATGAGAATTTTTAGTTTCTTTTTTTTTAAATCTGCTCTTAATTTCAAAATATTTATTCCATATAAACGAACTAAGCCCTTTTAGGTCAATACTAAATCCTAAATCGTTTTAGGCATGCCCGTCCGTCCGTCCGTCCATTTATACATGTTGGTTTTCAAACTACACTTTGAAATGTGCAACATTTTCATACAGATTCCTGTTTTTAGCCAAAGATACTATTAAAAATCACTCCTTACTTATACACTCACACTTATATTAAAAAAAAGTTTTATATTTAAAAAAAGTTTTTTTTATCAGAAAAACATAAAAGTTCTACAATTTTTCAACTTAATAAGTACAAGCGGAAAATTTGGATTGAATGAGACCGCTTTTGAACCCCACTAAAAAAAATTTGTTCTTGAAAAAAAAATGTCTGTTGGCGTCACCATATTTTTTTTGTGCAGCATCTTTAAAAAAAGTCAAAAGAAGAAGATTCCTATACGTAGTAGAGGTTAGGAGGACGTGCCTGACCTGTTCCATGACTTTGGAAATTGTTGTTGTGTCTGCTATAACTTATAAATAACGAAGCGAATGTTTTGCTCTTAAAAGCACAGGTGTACTGCGAGCATGTTCTTCGATCAATTGGGACTGAATTTCAATAATGAACGATTTCGAAGAACTTGAGATGTTTTTGTTTATTTTTATGCAGATATTTTTCATCATTTTTGCGATCGGAAGAGTGTTCACCACAGATGGACAGACGGACAGTCTCGATTCACAATTTGGTATATATATATACATTGTATAGGATTTCTGAAGCTTCCTTCTGATGTTGCAAACGTGTTGAGCAGATAAAAGTACTCCTACGTCGGCATGATCGATTTGTTACAAAAAGATGAAACATATCAATACAAGTCTTTCATGTGGCGAAGCGGTCCAAGTTTTAGTATTTTATCGTAGAAATTGATCCAAAATTTTACATATAAATCTATGCTTCTAATATGCTTGCGGCATGGAGGTTTTTTTTCGGAGCTCTCTCCCACTAAATACCTCAAGTGAAATGTCACCTTCACAAAGCGACAAAAGCTATTTTGCATAATTTATGAGGATCATATACTCTTTGAAAAAACATAAAAGAAGAGTTAACTCTGCTAAATTTGTACCGGGTCGGTCTAGGTTTTAGACCCTTACCCAATGTAAGGCTTTTCATGAAAAGTAAACATTTATACGGCAACACAAAGTCATCTTTAGTGTTGTTTGAGAAAAGTAGAAAGATCTTTGAAAAAAAAAATTAATTTTGTTTTATCTGGATCATGTCCCTCTAGGTTTTGGACTCCTTTCTGTGTAGGGGTGTTTGCTATTTTATTAAAAAAATATGTATGTAGAATTGCATAATGTGATGCAGCGTAGGGTATCTTATGGTTCGCCTTGCACCACAACAACGTTCTTATTTGCTTCTCTTAAGAATGCTATGAAAGTGTGGTTAGGTTTTCTCTGTTTTCCTGCAACAATTACCGAACAAACATTTACTTTAACACACATTTGCGTTTTAACCGATAGATTAACTCGAAACGTAAGTGTGTGTAAATTTGCATTGAAGGACAATCACAGCCTGCTGCAATAGCAGTCGTTCACGTAAATGACGTCTATAGACATCTATTGCTTGTAGTTGCAGATGCAAGTTACGTATATTCTTACTATTATGAAACAATTAAAACAAAGTGTTATATAGCACTATTTACTTGATTATATTACGATCGAAATTCGTTTTCGTATTTTTGTTTAATAATAATAATGATGATGTAATACTCTCTGCTAAATGGTGAGACAGCTGTTTGATCTCAATTATAGTTAGAATTAAAATTTTTTTCGTCACTAAAGTGCTCGTAGAATTTAATGACATGGACAGTCGCCAATATTTCATTTACGCTATTTCGGTCTATCTATTGTTTGTTTGAAATTCAAGTCCACAAAATATTTTTAGTGAAATCTTCTCCGAGGAGATTAGCTAAAAAGTTCTTACTGCGACAAATAAATATGATAGATAACTATATGAAAGTAAAGGGCCCCCCTTCACAAGAAAATCAAGCAAAATTGAATTTAAAGCAATCAATGAACAAGAATTAGATATCAAAAGGTAATTAGCTGTCTTTTGGGCATCAGAGAAATCGAATCTCTAAAAACCGCTACAGACGTCGGCCTTTTTTTTAGGAAAATTTATTAAAAGATACAATAATTTTAATCAGTACGTATGCAAGCTTAATCGAACTGCCCAAGAAGCAACGAAAACAAGCAAGAAACTTACATTCGGCGGGGAACGAAACTCTCGTACCCACCATATAAAGTCTTCGACCCTTTAAGAATTTGCGATCAGGAGATTGCTAACAAAACACACTACACAGACTCTCCGATGGACAGACGGACAGACTTGGCTTAATCAATTCAGAATATCGCGTTGACTAAGGCTGTGCCCTTACAGGTGGATACCTTACAACTTCCCTTCAGGTGCTACGTACATTATGAGGAAAAATAAACTAAGTGCAGGCCACACACGCTTCAGTAATGGGTCTAAAAAGAAGTGTATGCGAAAATGAGCGTCAACATGTTAACTTACTTAACTCTACTCATATTCGGAAATTTAACTCAAAAAATTTATGCAAATTTATACATTACTGGATCGTCGTATACAGTGAACGGTGGGCGCATGTTTATGTTAATTCATTTTATTTTATTTTTTTTTTTTTGTTCTATTGCATAAATTGAAAGATACGTTCAATATGCTCTCATGCCTTTGGGGATGAAAATAATAATTAATCGTTGGTAAGAATTTGTTAAATTAAAAAAAATATTTCCTTATATTGTTAATGAAAAAAAAAAAAAAAAATGACAATAAATTACTTACGAATGGTGTCTTTGGTCCTGGATAATTGTAACCATTTTCTTTAGGCGGCAGATAAGCGTTTGATCCTGGAGCTATTTGTGCATAAATACAAGCCAAACCCACTAAGAATATGCTCTGCAACGAACAAATAAAGAAGAATAGAAAGAAAACGTAATAATTATTATTATTATTATTATGAAATAGCGATCGTATGGTGGTATGTCCGTTGAACCTTGGAACTGAAAGGCTTAACATGCTTAAGCATGAAATGTTAAGCTAATACAAGGCCTTTTCGTTTAAACTGTAAAACTATAAATATAAACTGAAACATTTACCAAATAATAACAAATGCCAAAGCGATATTATCACAAATGACATTAAAACAAAAAGCGAATGATTTTGTTTTACAGCAAAACGAAAACAACGAAATCGTCTAAGTCGAGGTTCAGAATCGTATGCAGGTGCAACAAAAGATTTTTATTTTTATTTACTTTTTTTTTTTTGTTTTCTTCAAAGCTTTAGAAGTTTTTCTTGCTGTTGTTGCCATTGTCGCATTGGTGTTTTTGTTATTGTTGCTTTCGTGAAAAGGGCAATCAACTAAATCTCAGGCCAACATTTTGCAAAAAAAAAAAAAAAAAAAAAACACCACTAAATATAACACATGGCATACAGGAATGTTTTCTTGTTCGTTAATGTCATTTCAAATAAATTTTCTTATGCACATCAGCACATCACTCATTGTATAAAGAAATCGTTGAAAGAAATCGTATACGAAAAATTAAGAAAATAAGTGTTAAGATTAAGATTTAGTTGCAGTGAAGAACTGCAAAAAGAGACGGTTGTGTGAAAAGAGAGAAGAGAATAACCTGCTACTGTTTTCCCATCCCCGCCTGGTCCCGTCTTCCGTCTTACGCTGGGACTGCATTGTTATTTGCTTAGGGTAGACAGATGTTAAGAAAATTGTTATTATATTTATGCAGTCAAGTCTTCGAGAAAATATTTTTATTGGAATTCCTAACCAGTAGCTTAAAGAAAAAAAATAAATAAATGAAAATAAAAATACAAAAATAATAATAATAATAATAATAATAATAACGATAATCAATACTTATGTATTTATTTGCTTGATGATGTGCAGTTAGTGTTCAATGAGTTGTACTTTTAAGATAAATGATACAACTTTTAATGAATAGATGAGAATTCTCTATTAAGCAACAAATAATAATCGTGTATATATATATATATGTGTGTGTGTATGTGTGTGTGTATGTATATGTTTGCATCTTTATTTACATGCATAAATATATATGCATATGCATGTCGGACAGCTATTTATATAATTTACGGAAGTTATTGAAGGTTATTGAGTCTCTTTATATCTTTCATATCCACCATAGGGGGTACATTCGTTTTGTCAAATATTTCTTATGCAAAAAAAATGTATGCATGCATAGGAGCTGAAGCGTGAAAAACGTGGAAACAAGCAAACGGCATGATTAGTGCAATCGATTTAAAAGTGTTTATTCTTCTTCTTCTTCTTCTTCTTCTTTTGTTTACGACCCAAAAAAAGTTTATCTAGAATTTAAATGTCTTTCTATTACTACACAAGTTCACCGATCAGTTAAATCGATTTGCTTACTTAATTAGCAAAATCCATTTCCTTATATTTCTTATGTGTTTTGCTCACCTTTACGTGACTTTCCAATTAGGTTATGCTTAACGCTCTTTAACGCTCTTGCATGATTACAAGTACAATATGTCATATTACATAGTAGACCTATGTCGACCTATTTGCCTTCCATATTACTTAAGCCGCTGTCACGTTCGTAAGTAAGTAAGCAATGAATTGCTTATATGCTTTCATTACAAGTTCTCGTGAAACATAAGCAAAAACATAAGTGAAACTCAAAAAGGCGAAAACAGTTCGACTTGAAATGTACATAAATTTTGCTTTTCTTTAATTTTCTGCTTTGTTTCTTCGCAAAAATCTTTGAAACCCTTATACAAGATTCGCTGCTTATTACTTCGGCTTTGTTTTCTTTGTGCCTATCTTTGTACAGATTTGCTAAGTAAAACAACTTTTAGTTATTTTAGACATTTAATGGAAGAATTTAAGCCGATATGCGTAAGGTTTACGAAGAACATCTGTGCAACATCTAGCAGGATTTTAGAGCGACTCTGCTTTAATTATAGCAAAGGCGTTAACTTGATAAGCATGTTTGTCCTTCTATTTGTTTGTCGGCGCAATTTCCATGAAATTTCTAAAACAATTTAAGCATTACATCCGTCCGTCCACAACGTTTTCATTCAATCTATAGGTGAAAATGTTTTCGAAATGTTTTAATAAAATCTACTCCATTAACATATTTTGGCTCAACAACAAATGCTACTGAAAATGGATTAGAGAAGGTACTATTTTGAAAAAGCGTCTAACGTGAACAAGTTTTTCAATTTTTAATGTTTCTCATGCATATTCGCTAAAACAATCATTGTCGGTACAATAAGCAAAAAGTGGAAAATTTGACTGGAACGGGGAATGGGCGCCATGGGAACCCACGACTTCTTCCCTACAAGAAATAAGCAACAATTTGTAATTTTGTTGTAATATGTTGTGTTACTAAATAACGAAGTAAGATGTAGTTGGTTGGTATAGTTTTCGTTGCCTCCCTCATATAGGGGGTTTCATGAATAGTAAGCCTTTAGATGGCGATGAAAAACAATTTTTGATATTTTACGACAAAACTATGTGACGAGTTGTTGTTGTTAATTAGGCGATGTGATGTAGAGCATTCGACTTTGTCTCTGGCTAAAATGTTTTAACTTCTTTTGTAAATCCAAAAATTCTTTACTACCCTTGCCGCTTAAGCTTATATTCGATACTTGTCGCTTCAATATTTGCAAAGTGTACTCAACATATAAAAGTGAGGGAGGGCGACAAATAATGTGCTGAATATCTACCGTCGGTTATGAGGCTTCTCTTACAAATTAAAAACATGTAAGAAAATTTTCTTCGGCTATGACTGTGGAATTTTTTTTTAACTTTTCATTTGGTATGGAACATGTAAACATGTACTGAAATAGCGGATAAGTAATGAGCAGAGAACCGTATTACTCCCTTTATGTTGTACTGTGGACATCTCTTTTGACCCATTCTAAGTAACAATTTGCTTACAAGAACATCTAATATTTATGATAATTTTGAAGCCATCATCATCATAGTTCTGATCAGGAGAAAGTGTAGCGTACTCATTGCTTAACTTAACATACTTTGATAATTTTTACATAAATTAATTCAAGCATATTTTGAATTTTTACTTTTAATCAAAACATTTGCTTTTTATTTTTAATGACGTAATTTAAGTTATACTAGCATAAGCATTATTTTAACAGCCACAAAAATATTTTAGTATCCAAGACATATGTGTTTGTAAAAGAATGAACAGCGGGAATTCCAAAAACGCTCTGAAAAATATTGAGAAAAAAATATGTCTCCTCAGAATTTCATCCTACGTACCAGCGATGTGGTAACATTCGCGAAACCAAATATGCACAAAGGACGAACGGTCGCCCTTTCTCTTTATTTTATGTCGATCTTTGTTCAGTTTATAGCATGACGAACGTGACGATAATTTTATAACAACTATTTACCACAAACATTACACATAGACATAAGGAGAGACAGATGGACAGACATGGCCAAAGCGATTCGGAAGCTATTGTTGGCTAAAATGCTTCAAATGCTTTGTATGGTTTTTGAAGTCTTCTTCTAGGTGTAGCATATGGGTTTTGGTCTTGGGTACGTCAGCTAACTTGTGCCGATTAAAATCTCACTTGTTATTGAACCATTACGAGAAGTAGTGTGTTTTTGTCAACGTGAACTAATGGAGATAGATACGCGTATATGAAGTTTGCAATCATTGCCCATCATACAAAGATAACCTTTGCAGATAAGAGATATGTTATTGTATTGTGCTCAAGCCAATGTATAAAAATTGTTCCGCATTTTGACAATCGTCCATTTGTCAGCGAGTTAATCGAGAGTGTTCTTCTTCTTCCGAAAAGTATGCGTATAAAGTAAAGAAGCCTTGGCCAGTTGGCGATGGATAAGCAGATTATCAACGATTCGCGGAAAAGTCAACAGACGATAAGATTAATAAAAATATCAGAACTAAATTTTATATTAATGACTAATAAGCAGAGAATTTACTGAAGGCGAAAAGTGAGCTGAAAAGGAGATTTGAAACGTTGTTAAGTACAAGGTCCTGCAAACAATTTCTTTGTAAACCTTGGCTATGCTCTCAGAAATGTTGGGCTGATGCAGAGGTGCCTACCAAAACTCGGTGTTCGCATATTCAAACCTTATCTCTACTTCGTAGTAACCTGTCGATAAAGGTATAACACTATCCGACAGGACACATCCACCCGCTAGACTGCAGACATTTCCTTCCATACTTCTTCCTCCTCGTTACCGTGTTACAAGTGCAAACGACATCCCCTGAGTGGTAGGTCGGTCACATTTGATAGAAAAAAAAATGAGTTAAGATAAAGCGATCGCTAGCAAGTATAGCGATATGGAAAGCGCTACAAATAATTATTTAAGTTCTAAAGTTTAAGGTAACAAATGATGCGAATCGCTAGCGAATACGAAACTTTGCAATTTTTTCGGCAAATCTAATATGACGACTAAAAAGAAGAGCGCATCTGAAAACAAGTACACAGCTTTCTTACTACTTTTAGCATACGTATGTCAAGTTGTGCCTATGAATATTTAAATTATTTTTTATTGTTGTTTGGTTCGTTTTTCACATGTTATGATTTATTCACATTGATATTTCATAGCGCGAAAAAAAAAACCCGACATTGTTTCTTAACATTTAACGGTAAACCACTTACGATCAGATTATTCTGATATTGCGGCGCAAACTGAAATGAGAAGACTAACGAAATACACAATTGATTTAATGTTGTTGCTTATGCGCCAAGGGAGCAGAAATGACGAGGCTTTAATAATGGATGTGGTATTTTAAGCGGAGATCGTACATTGTATTATTGCGCAGCATATATGAGAGTTAAATCAGCGATTGCGCAATCGCTTTATCGCTTGACGTGTACACGTGATTTATATGATTGCATCG